CTGTTTGTCTCTTTTTTTGTCAATTTGTTTTTTTTCCGAAACCGTTCATCCTCATCAAGAGGGGTTTATTTTATCCATGTTTTATCAGCGTGGGTTTTTTAATATTTTGGGTCATTCTGTCGAGTTTTTAATCAATCAGTCAACCAATCAATCAGTCAATCAATCAGTCAATCAATCAGTCAATCAATCAGTTAGTCAGCCAGTCAATCAATCAATCAATCAATCAATCAATCAGTCAATCAATCAGTCAATCAATCAGTCAATCAATCAGTTAGTCAGTCAATCAATCAATCAATCAATCAATCAATCAATCAATCAATCAATCAATCAATCAATCAATCAATCAATCAATCAATCAATCAATCAATCAATCAATCAATCAATCAATCAATCAATCAATCAATCAATCAATCGATCAATCGATCGATCGATCGATCGATCAATCAATCAATCAATCAATCAATCAATCAGTCAATCAGTCAACAAATCAGTCAATCAGTTAACCAATCAGTCAATCAATCAACCAATTAATCATGCTTATGGAAAAGTGTTTAAAATTTTCATTTTTAGTCCTTACAAAAATCTAGACTAAAAAGCAACGATCACGGAATGAAAGATGGCGATATTTTTTTTTTTCAAATTTCATTTTTCACATTTTTATCAATTTAAAAGTGAAACTTTTCATAAACATAATCTCGTACAATCACATGCACGTGTGCGTTTGTGTGTGTGCGTGCGTGTGCGTGTTGCGTGTGTGTGTGTGTTTGTTCGCCGAGACAGCATGTGCTTAAATTAAGATGCTTTGAGGAAATCAGAATGATAATGATAATGACGACGATGAAAATGAGTAGAAAGATGATCATGACGAAGATGATGTTACTGACTATGATGACGATGATGATGAATACGACGACAGGATGACGTTGTTGGTGAAGCTGATGAAGACGACGATGATGATAAAGCTGATGAAGACGACGATGATGATGAAGCTGATGAAGACGACGATGATGATAAAGCTGATGAAGACGACGATGATGATAAAGCTGATGAAGACGACGATGATGATGAAGCTGATGAAGACGACGATGATGATGAAGCTGATGAAGACGACGACGATGATGATGAAGCTGAAGCTGATGAAGACGACGATGATGATGAAACTGATGAAGACGATGAAGATGACGATTAGGAAAAGGGAAAAAGACGGCGATGGGGATAACGATGACGATGATGGAGATAGTGATGAGGAAAATGATGACGAAGATGACGGGGGTTATGATTTCGATAGTTGTGGTCATGGAGTTGATGAAAGTCGGGTACTTCGGCATGCCAGCTTATATTTCCGCCATGAGTGGCAAAAAACTTTTATGGCTGTTTTTTAATGAACGCACGCACGCACAACACCACAAACACACACACACACAACTAAACACACACACACAACTAAACACACACACACACACACACACAACTTAACACACACAACTTAACACACACACAACTAAACACACACACACACAACTTAACACGCTTACACACACACACACATTCATCTTCTAGACACAAATACACACACACAGACACACACAACTAAACACACACACACACACACATCTTCTAGACACAAATACACACACATATACACGCACAACACACACACATAAAAACACACGCACGCACGCACACGCACGCACACTCATGAAAATTGTTGCGTAAACATATTTTCCTCTGCTACTACTACTTCTGCTGCCGTGGGTTGGGTGGGAGGAAATAAAATCTGTTTGAAATTATGTCGCGTCACGGAAAGTTTGCGACAAAATTTTTTCACGCGCAAACAAATTTCGTTGCAAATTGTTTTCGCACGAAGAATTTCAGAGGAAAAAAATCAATTGGTCATAAATTATTATATTAAGAATTAATATCGCAAGACTATTTTGTTTGCTGTTTCAAGAAAATGTTAAATAAGAAGTTTTGTTAGGCAAATTAATGAGACTAAAAAGAAGATAGGTATATTTTGTAATGTTTAAATTGAATTTTCATTGCACTGAAATGAAAATAAAATGAAGACAGTAGATTATTTTTCAAGCAGTTGCAATGTAAATATCCTCCAGTTATGAATTCGATAACTCTTTCTGTCGGCGCTGGTTTTTGGGTTTGGCATTTTTTAAACTTTCGTTTGTGCTTGAGTTTGCATGTCAGTGTGTGTGTGTGAGAGAGTGTACTTGTGTGTTTGAGAGTGTGTATGTGTGTGTGTGTTTGTGTATGCGTGTGTGTCAAATGTGTGTGTAGGTTTTTGTGTGTGGTGTATGTGAGTAGGTGTGTGTAGATGTGTGTGTGTGTGTGTGTGTGTGTGTGTGTGTGTGTGTGTGTGTGTGTGTAGGTGTGTTTGGTGTACGTGTTTTATTAAAGAGTTACATATGAAGTGGATTAACATTTTTATTTAAAGTCGTTTATTTGCTAATTAATTTACTACCTTTGAAAGACAGTCTAAATATTTAATTCGACGGACATTTTCTAGCACAAAAAAAAACTCAGCATAGACAACAAAAACAAAACGTAAAAAGAATGTATGGTAAGCCATTTGGCGTAACTTTATTAACTCCCCTAACAACGAGTAAGAGGAAGAGGCCCGGATGCATTTCCTTTATAAATTTTTCTCGAAAATCTTAAAATTTTTCAATTATGCATCAACGCCATCATCATCGTCATCATTCTCGTCATCGTCGTCATCACAATCATCATCATTACCATTATCGTCATCATCATCATCATCATTACCATTATCATCATCATCATCATCATCATTACCATTATCATCATCATCATCATCATCATTACCATTATCATCATCATCATCATCATCATTACCATTATCATCATCATCATCATTACCATTATCATCATCACCACTCTCATCACTATCATCGTCTTCTTTTTGACTATGAAAATGTGAAGTACGTATAGTCAAAAATATTGATTGGGGTATAAATATTTAGGTGGAGTGTAAAAAAATTAATTTTAATGTATATTTTTGTAAATTTTTTTGTTTAACTTTATTTTTGATGAAACTTTAAACATTATTTTTTTTTACTTTCTAATCAAAAAAATAAATCGTTTTTTTTAAATTTAATAATATATTTTGAAATTTCAACAAAATTTTCGTCGGAAACAATTTTTTCACAACTTTTTAATAATTTGCTCCCTAGAGCTGCTTATTCGTGTCTACATTTAAAATCTTCTTTATTGAAACTAGATGGAGTACCAAAAAGTTTGTATGTTTTGGAGTGCCAAAGTTTAACAACAACATCATCAACATCAACAACAACAGATGATGATGACGACACTGATGATGATGGTGCTGATCATCACAATGACTATGATGATGGTGATAATGTTGATGTTGAATGTTCTCATGTGACTTAAGTAAGTTTACGCTGACAAAACTTCACTGTGGATTGTCCAACAACAACTTAATTGTGCCGGTAATTAGGCAAGTCGTTTGTATGTTTATCTCTTCAGGTAATTAAAAATTGCCATAGTAAACTTCATCTGCATCATCGTTGTCGTCTTCATCGTCATTATCATCATCATCATAACTATCATCGTCATCTTCATTATCATAACCATCATCGTCGTCACCAATACGAATATCATCATCGTTATTATCATCACAATCGTAATTATCATTATATTATTATTATATATTGTTATTATAATTATCAATATCCACATCATCGCCTTTGTCTAAATCGTCATCATCATCGTCATCATCGTCGTCGTCATCATCATCACCACTACCATCACCATTAATTGATTTTTCCATTCATGCATATCTAGCATACGTTTTATTATTCCATTAGCTCAGTGTTCCAGGCCAGCATCGAGTCGAGGAACAATTGAAAAAAAAATAATTTTTTAAATACGAATCATGATTTTATTATGGCTAATTTAGATTATAGTACTGTTAATATAAGCATATTTTTACATTAAACATGTGTGTTTGTGTGTGTGTATGTCTGTGTGTGTGTATGTCTGTGTGTGTGTATGTCTGTGTGTGTGTATGTCTGTGTGTGTGTATGTCTGTGTGCGTCCGTGTGTTCGCCAACAACAGTTAATAATATTAGCATTGATACTATATATTTATATACATGTACATCGTTTATCATATGATCAAGTGTTATATGTTAATTTATGTATATATATATATATATATATATATATAACGCAATATTATATATATATATATATATTTGTAATAATATATATATATACTAATATATATATATATATATATTATATATATATATATTATATATATATATATATTATATATATATAGTAGTCAGTTAAATTCAATATTGTCTACTAGCATTTTAGATTTGTGAAAAAATTGTTAAAACGAATATAAAATGAATAAAATTATTTTAACGTGTCAATAAAGAAATGAATTTTTTAAAACTCAGAGAGAATTCTAGCAAGTAAAAAAAGGAAAAATATGCAGGCAATTTTGTAACGTAAAATTAACAATGTGTGAAAGATTAATAAAATATTTGAATACATGTGCTAAGAACGAGATGATTAATTTAATTTAATAAATATAAACTCTAGTTAACAATAAATAATATATGTATATATTTATATTTATTTATAATAAATAATTTATACAAAAATATATTTAAAAAAAAAATTGGCATTCGTTCCTTGGGGAGTGAAAATTAATAAAATTCAGCAACAAGGCGGATGTTTGTTTTTGCCATCTCTTGGCGTAACAACAATTTTTTATACAATTTCCTTCCCATGCATTTCTATGCAATTACGTTGGCACGTATTTCTTCAGATGTATTTTTTCTTTCCCTTGCTTGTTCGTTCGTTCGTTCTATGGTTATTTACATACATCTTTTTTTCTCATTTCGTTCGAGAACGAAAAAATAATATTGAAAAAAAAACACCAATTCATTACACGATGTTTACCGTTTGTTTTTTTTATCTCTAAATCTTCCTCAAAAAGAATTTCTTCTACGGCTCGTATCAGCGTCGCCATAAATTATAATTACGTTCTTTTTCGTTAAATAGGCACTCAGAGTTCGACCATGAACATTCGTCGGTAAATTAATCGTAACTTGAAATGCCGGTAGACTCGTTAGACCATCATCTCTTTCGGTATTGTTGGGCACATCTTCACTGTCTTTGTTGTTCACGGTGTTGTCGGTACAATCATTGTTCGGGTGCATGTTCGAATCGTTATAATTGGTTGAAATTTGTAAAAGAGAAATTGCATCACAGTTGTTATCGCGTGTGTCAACTGCGGATGAATTCATTGCAATGCTTGCGTTCAATTTTTCTGTAGAACCGTTTATAACCAACATTTTGTCTAAACGTTTGATTGAGATATCCTTATGATCGAATTCATCTGGAACCTTGAGGCAGATGTTCAATTGGTTCGACGGTTCCTGACTCGTCAATATCGGTACGTACTTCGAGCTGCATGATTCGTTGTAGTTCATTGTGAAAGTGATGCTCCGACTCGTGAATTTCTTAGTCGGTGATCGAGCCAATTTTTCGATTAAGTCGAAGCCAGTCTGTTGCGGGTAGGAAAAGTGCTCTTGTTCAAAATCAGTTAGATTCGAATCTTCTTTGACGATCAACCAGCGCCTATCTTCCGATATGAAGCAGATCCAATTTCTAAGTTCGTTCGGTAATGTAACATCTTCTAAAAGTATCGAACTGTACTGTTTAGATTTAACCTTTTCAAACGAATGACCTCTATCTCGTGTGGAACTAATTTTATCTTTCATGATGGCGACGCGTAGCAACCTTTCATTGATCAACTCAACGTAAATGTCTTCGAGCGGGAAGTAGACAGATTTTAATGAGACTTTATAAAGGAATCTGTGAGATGATAGGAGAGATGAAGACAGCGAACACTCGCCCTTGTTATCTGGCGAGTGTTCGCTGTCCTTTCTGTTGTTCGAACGTTGTGTTAAGTTTGTTTGAAGCAGCTTCGTCAGTTCAAAGTTCAACAGTTGATTCGTTTCCTCGTGTCTGATAATGAGCTGAAAATTTGTTTGTGGTTAGTAATTTTAAGTTAAGTTATTTTGAATTAATGATTAAAGTTTAGTCCTATCAAATTGTTTTCAGTCAACATTTTTTACAGCAAAAAATGTTTTTATGATTGTTTTTTGGTGAAATACTAACAACAGCATGTTGCTTAATAATAGTTTGTGGTTGGAATATTTAATAATGTTCTTTTAGCAAACAATATGTGAAAACCACAGGAAACAAAACAGCTCAAGACTTATGTTGATTCATATGCATTTGCAGATAGTTGAAAATAAAAGTTTACACTGTATATGTATTATGTAATGTTAATACAACTAAACTCAAACATCGCAACATGAAAAGTCATAATATTTCTAACATTCAATTACTAGTTTAATCAATCATATAACAAAGTTCATTTGAAATTTCCATTAACACTATGATAATAAACTGTTTACAACTCATAAAAATCTCTATTTTCTTGCACTACAGAGAATTTTGTAGGCCTCCGACAGCAAAAACTATTTAAAAACTCCGAACGTCAGCTAACCTTTTTATGATTCGGATCGCAGAAGTGAATGTTTTGAGTGGGTGTGAACATGATTGCAGCACTGTTCATCCGTTTCATCGTCAGTCTCTTCGGCGCGTTCATCGTGTTGCATCGGTCTCGAGAGGGCAGGCTTGTGGTGGAATTGCGTTTCGGTGATGGTAAAGATGATTGTTTCAGTTGAAAATAGTAAATTATATACAAAAAATAGTCATAATTTGGTTTTATGTAGAAAAGTAATTATTGCCAGTTGTGGAAATGTTCAAGTTATATCTCAAAATAAACTAACAAACAATTAAAAAATTCCTACGCGATAAACAAATAGAGAACAAAAAACAGCAGAGCACCAACATTGGTGAAATGAAATCATTCCTTTTTAATGAACTCTCACGACAGGCTTCGGTGGAAACAACAAGAGCATCTATTTTCATTTCCACTTTCATCTCGTTCATCCTCACTTCCTCATCTTTCTCACATTTCCAGGTATCGATAGAGTTCACAAATTCACTAGGAAGAGCTATCAACTCGACGCTATCTTCTGCACTCTTGTTCTCTACTATGTCGCAGTTACTCAAGAAAACGTTATCCGCCGGATCGTCTAGTCGGTATTCGCTCAACTTCAAATCGATCGATTTGTTTCTGTCGGTTAAATCAAGACTTTTGTGATAGGTAGTAGAAAGATTGGTGTCGGGAGACGGTATCGATGTTTGATAATACTGCTTGAGGGAAGGATTACCCAACTGGGTAACGACTTTGGCTATGGGTTTCTGATACAATTTTTGGTTCTGAAGTGAATGTCTACTGGGAAGTTTTTTAGGTAGCGGGGATGAATCTGTACTTGAGATTGACCTCATCAGAGGGCTGCCACAAATATTTTTCAAACTTTGAGAAAGAACCATGAGACTAGTGTCCCAGGAAACTCTGCTAGTCAGAATGGGATTAGTCCCTATAGGTGTTAAAGACGGATTTGAGAGTATAGCCGATGGAGATTTTGTGGTTTTGACGCTGCTCTGTCGGTAAAAACGTGGAGTGTTGTGTCGGAGTTGGTTGAATTGCTGCTGTTGTTGTAATTGATGTAATTGTAGTTGCTGTTGTTGCTGCTGTAGTTGATGTAGTTGCAGCTGCTCTGGCCGCTGTTGTTGTGAATGAAGTAAATATTGCGGCTGTTGTTGGAGGTGATTTTGATGCTTGAGTGTCGGATGAGAATGCAAATGTTGATTTTTGGACGTTGCAAAATGTTGTTGTTTGACTGCCTGTTGTTGTTGTTTGTTTGCTGAGTGTTGTTGCGGCGTTTTCATGCGTTGTTGCGTTGAAACTGAAGTCACAACATTAGTGGTTGTAATACTCGCTACTACAGCTGTTGTCGTTGTTGTTTTGCTAGTTATAGCGCGAGGTTTGTCTCTGGATGTTTTCAGCTGAGAAGCTGTGGTTGTCGTTAAAATTACCGTTTTGGGATTGGTTAGCTTTGTTGTTGTAACATTTGTTGTTTTTGTTGTTACTGCTGGGTTTGTTGTCTTTGTTGATGTTGTCGCTGGACCTGCCGTTTTTGCCATTGTTGTTGGGTTTGTTGTTTTTGCACCTATGCTGTTTGATGAGTTCGAAGATATGTTTGTGGCAAGTGCCTCATTAGCCTTATCTCTTATTAGTTTTGGTTTTTGTAGTTGTTTGTTTGTTGTTGGTGGTGTTGTTGTTGTTGTTAATGCTGTTTTTGTTGGTATAGTCGTTACATTTGTCATTGTTGTAGTGGTCTTTGTTACTCCAGCCGTTATTGAGGTTGTTTTTGAGGTTGTTGTTATTGTTGTTGATATTGTTGCTGCTTTTGAGAATGTCGTTACAGATGTTGTTGTTGTTGTTGTTTTGTTATCTGTTTTGGAAGGAATTGTCGTTTTTATAGTCGCAGTTGTTGTTGTTGAACTAATTACTGAAGACATGTTTATCTGGCTGCAGAAATAATACACGAAAACGAAGAGTGTATATTTTTTTCTTACAAAGGACATTAAAGGCTGATACCATTAACATTCAGCCAGCAAATGTTAATTAACAAACTTGACCTAAACAAAAAATGAAGGCGTATAAACATTAAATAAACAAATAATAACATCAACATAGACAACATCACATCAATATTTTAATGAAAAAAAAACAAGTCAACCACATCAATTAAAGTATCATCAAACACATTCAAAAAAACATTTTTTTTATCAGCAATAGCAATCAAAAATCGTATAAAAGATATCACGCACATCAAATTTTGGAAAAATAACATCAACAAAAACATTAACAGCAATCTAAACAACAAGATCACATTGATTTGATCCTTCAGTTTGAAATAATATTGACTTAAGTTAACATCGGAACTTCAAACAAACGAACAAAATGCGATAACATTGCGATATTCCTTAACTAATTAAGGAATTAATAATAAACATCTCATTCAAATTTCTCATTTAGAAACATTGGATATTTTTTAACTTTTCAGCGTGTTTTTGGATTATCTGTAAAAGTTATTGAATTCCTCATATTAATGTATAAATCGTAAATTGTTTTTCAATTAAATAAATAGAAAGTATTATCTTTACATGTTTATTATACAAAGATGTTTAAAGAATTCAGTAAAAAAAAACCCTGTAGTTGAAAAAATCTTCGTGTTTGGCTTTGCGTGTACTTCTGAACTTATTAGTGAGTGTACATATGCATGTGTGTGTGTGTGTGTGTACGTGTATGTATACGAATATATGTATGTATGTGTGTGTATGTGAATGTATGTGCGTATGTGTATGTATGTGTTTGTATGTGAATGTATGTGTATGTATGTGTGTGTATGTAGATGTATGTGTGTGTATGTGTATGTATACGAGTATATGTATGTATATGTGTGTATGTGTATGGTGTGTATGTATGTGTGTGTATGTGAATGTATGTGCGTATGTGTATGTATGTGTTTGTATGTGAATGTATGTGTTTGTATGTGTTTGTATGTGTGTGTATGTGAACGTATGTGTGTGTATGTGTATGTTTGTATGTGAATGTATGTATATGTGTATGTACGTATTGTTATGTTCTTGTTTGTGTAGAATGAAAAGATGTTAATGACTGAGTGTGAGTGAATGAATGAACGAGTGTAAAGTTTCCAAGTCAATATCCGTGCTTTGTTCAGTAAACAACAACAACAATAATAATAATAATTATTATTATTATTTTATTGTTATTGTTATTATTATTATTATATTAGTAGTAGGAAGAATTATATAAACAATAAAAGTAACATGAATTCAATTCAATTAACACGTTATTAATTATTTTTCCACAAGATAAAATAATTAATAACTCAAGTAGCACTGCTACTATTGCTACTACGACAAATACTAATTCTACAACCTACTACTAGTAGTAGTGAAAATAATAAGAAAAATAAGAAGAGGAAGAGGAAGAGGAAGAAGAAGAAGAAGAAGAAGAAGAAGAAGATGAAGAAGAAGAAGAAGAAGAAGAAGAAGAAGAAGAAGAAGACGAAGAAGAAGAAGAGAAGAAGAAGAATGTAAAAGGCTTACAAAACAACAAACCACACCTATAAACAGCTTTTCAAATTCTCAAAAACATCCTGAACAGACTAAATACGAACCACGTAATACAGCATATCAACGTGCTGACACAAGTAGACATTATAAACGCTATGTTAAACGCAGAATAAACAATGTTTAACACCAAATGAACAACAACAAACACTGATTAACTAACGCTCAACAACACATTTAACAAAATATTCACATGTGAAATCATTATATCAAAATAAACTCGTTTTTTGAGCTCTGATGAACCGATACGAATCGACACATCGAATCGATACATAAATATGTTACAAACAAACAACTACCTAAACAACAATTTCAAACAAAAACAGCAACAAACATGAATAAACATCAGCTGATAGATAAGATATGTATCTCTTTTGAATTGATATCATCATGTAGATAACAATCCTCTCAAAAATAAATATATCCATCTGCTACTAGCAAACGCTGAATTTTGTATAGGACTTTAAATATTTTTTTGTAGAAAAAATTTTTTTAAAGATTAATTTATTTATTCGTCTATTATT